CACATTCGCTCACAAAGTTGTTTGGACCACTTCCTCCAGGAGGTGCTGTATGTTAATGTTCTGCTCCGGTGCTGCACTGCAGAACTGTTCCACGTCCGACTCCATCTGTCTTCATGCTGCTGCGTCCACGCCACTGTCCAGGAGGACAGGATGGGGTTTGTTTCTCAATTCTGTGTGTGTGTGTGTGTGTGTGTGTGTGTGTGTGTACTAATGCTCTCTGTTCACTGCAGCTCTTCTGTGAAAACCTCGTCCTTCATTCTCTCTTCTGTCTTTTCAGTTCTGATGTTTAGTCCTGAGGGAGTTCCTCTCCGACCGTCCCACTGATCAATGCTGAGGAAACCACTGCATTAAATGATAATGTAGTAACCACCAAGACAACGACCAAGAGCACGTACAGTTAACCAGCTGTAGGGGGAGCCAGAGGAAAAGAGAATCGATCTTTAAAGTGTAACACGAAACATTTGTGTCGAAAAAAAGATTCTGATCGTGTCGCAATAAAGTCAGTCTGATGGTTTCTCTAAACAAAAGAAAATGTACTCAAACCATTTTCTTGTAAATCAACACATGACTTCTACTCGACACATTTAAGAATAATGTTTTTGTCCAGCACTCAACCAGAAAAAAAATTCAACAAACTGCCAACGACGTGAAGAGCCCAGTTTGGAAGAGAAGAGAATTAAACAGCACAACAGAACCCTGATCCAAAGTGGGATTTACTGCCAAGAAGTATAACAAATACATGTGGCAATACTTGGAGTATAAATATATTATAGTTGGCCAAATATATGGTTCCCACATTATTATGTGCTTTAACACATAAACAATTGTAATCCTCTATTAACAAACTTCATTATTATTATTATTATTAATGTTATTGTTATAAATATTATTAAATATAATATTACTTTTATTATTACCATCACTATTTCTTTTTAAATTTAAAGAAACTGTAGTTTTTGCCTTTAACTTTGGATTAAAAAAAAGTAACGCCTGAACAAACAAACAAACAAACAAACATCAAAGCAACAACAGAATCCAAATCTGCTGGAGTTCCATGTTTTTGCTGAAAAATAAAACCCGTTCTTTTTTTAAAAAAAGACCTGGAGGAACACCAGGCAGCGCTCTACTTTCTCTCAGGAGCGGTGTGTGTGGGGAGAAAGGAATTCAACAACAGGAAATGGAGCTGCAGCGCTGAAGGAAATCCCACAGAGGAACGCCGATGGTATCTAACAAACAGAGAGTGCAGAGAACCTGCAGCGTGTCACTGCGTCGCTTGATGGAACGGCCAGGTTTAACACAATATTAAAAATGATTTTTTTTGTTTATCTTTTTATATTAAGATAAAAACATTGTGTTTATTTAATACTCCCAGAGGTTTAGTTTAAAGTCAGGAACTGATTAGTGGATTTTTAGTGTTGTTAGCATCATTAGCATCAACCTCCTCATCCTGTACAATTGGAAACAGCAGCTGTCAGACNNCCCTCCCCCTCCCCCTCCCCCCTGACAGCTCTTCCAGCCGGTGACACTTCGCTGGAGCACAAACAAACATAAAAGCGTCCAGAAGTTCCACCAGCGTTCTCTGGTGACAACTGGTGACGGGGAGAAAAAATGAAAAGTTCTTGTTGTTGTTTTGTTTTATTTTGTTTTTTTAAACCCGACAACAGTCTTTGACACGCTGATATTTAACAGCTGCTCTGAAATACTGCTGTCAATACGTTTGATACCAGGTGGCACACACCATTTGGTGAAACCCAAGCATCGTGTTATCAGGTTTTCATTAACAGTAACGATTCTTACAGATGTTACATAATTATGCTAATATCAGTCTGATAATATCGGTCGGCCGATATTATCAGACATCCCTTCTAATATTATTCTTTGGAGTTTATTTTGGAATCCAGTCGTGGGCCGGATTGGGACGGTTCAACGGGCCGGTATCAGCCTGCGGGCCACCAGTTGAAGAGCAGTGATGTTTGTCTACGTCTCTGTGTCAGGGTTGGGTTTGTTATAGGTCAACTTGGAAATTTAATTCAGGACAAAACAAAATGTAATTCACCCTGTCGTGTCGGACACGCCCAGTGTTGATTCAGATCTCCAGTTTTCTCAGCCTTTTTGTTTCTTCGAGCATTTGGATCAACCAAGTGAAAGAACCAGAAGTTTATTTATAAAAACTGCAAGAGACCAGGCTTTAAAAAAAGAAAACATCCAGTTGGCCCAGTGGCCCCCTCGGCCCCTGACACTCTGTGGTTTCCAGGCCCTGGTGTGATGGTCTTGAAAGCTTCCAGGACCAGGCCAAACTTCAATAATTGCAGTACTAGTGCTGGTGCTATCGTTACAAATTAGCAGCTGTGGCTGGAGTTAGTAATTGTGTCTAAGGACTTAACCAGAGTGAGATGTAGGTCATTGGTTTCCACTGAATAACATGTAATGAAACTATGAGCAACAATTGCCCCGGGGGGGAGGGGCGGGGGGTGCAGAGTCAGCAGGTTCCTCCTGTCTTGCGTCAGCATCGACTGCAGCGTGTTAAAGACGTGTACTGCAGTGCATGTTCACAGCATCGAACCACGTCAACGGGACACGGATAAAAACCCCGTCATTATCGACGACAAACGACGGTTGAACCCGACGTCTGACGGAGTCGAGTCCACTCCACCTTTGACCTGCTGCTCAACCACAGGGTCAACCTTGAATTTAATTGAAAAAAAAAAAAAAATATATACATCTTTTACAGCATAGCGCCCCCTACTGCACTATAAGAGTGTTTTTTTTTTACTGTTAGCAAACAAAGCTAAAAAAAAAAAGCCTGAGACTTTCAAGATAACGACATATCAGCTCCAGCTTGTTGGGGTGAGTGTCGTCTCCTGTTCTCTGACACGGATCTTGACGCATCTTGACGAGGC